AGCTTTCAGGAAAGGACAACAACAAAGAACAGATAACCTGAGAGAGCCATATTCTTGATGTCTTAAGATTTAAAAATTGCAAAGAAGTCTTTGTGGCTAGAGTGTAGTGGGAAAGGAAGAGAATGCTAATAGGTACAGGAAAGGTCAGAGGCAAATGAGGAAAGACTTTGCTAAGTTACCATAAGGACAGTTTTACTTAGAGTAAAATATACTTTGTATGTACTCTTCACAGTTGTTACATGAGGTTAGTTGATTTTTTCCCCACATTTTAGAGTTAATAAGATTCTACCATGTAACTGGTAATTAACTTCTTCAAGGTCATGTAAGCTGGTAATTAAGATCCAAAGTCAGGTCTTTGACTTCAGAACCTCCTGATTTTTTCACCGTACTGTTCTTGTTCAAGCACACTTCCAGAGGCTTTCACTTTTACAGTGAAATTCAGACTGGGCCTAGTTTTTGTGTGGATCTAGGGTGAGTTTTCATGCAGGGCTCATTATTTTTTAATATCCACAGGAACTAATACCATTCTTATTTCTAAATCAACTTTGTCAAGGAAGTTTACATATAATACAGGGCATTCATTTAAGTGTTCTTTTTAAATGAGTTTTCACAAATTTTTACACCCGTTTAACTATCACCATCATTCAGATACGGAACATTCCTATCACTCCTGAAGTTCACTGATTCTGGGCAGACCCCAGTGATGGCCCAGGCAACCACAGATGTGCATTCTGTCAGTCAATATATTTGAGATTTTTATCTAGAGTTTTGAACAAATGGATTTGTAGGTACTACATTGTTTTGTGTGGTCTTTTTGCTCGGCGTAATTTTATGACTTTTACGTGTATCAGTTGTTCACTTCTGTTGAATATTGTTTTATTGGCTAGTGCTTTTCTAACTGGTACCTGAAAAATGTTTGTTGAATGAATGCATATAATAAATATCCTCTTCCCCCACAGTTTTGCTGCTTTTCTTTATTATGAGGATGCTAGAACCTCTCCTAGATTTTGTATGTCGCTAGCCTTAAATTTATGTATAGATTATGTGAAGAGATAATAGTGAAAAATGTGCATGATTTAGATCTCAGTATTTGTTAAAAAAGAGTGTTTCCTGTTCATTTATCTTAGTACCCTTCTCTAAAATGACCGACTGTGTATTGGAAGCTTCATTTCTGGACTCCATTCTGTTTCATTGATTGGTAAGTCTATCCTTACGCCAGTATGCCTTGATTACAGTCTGCAATTTTGAAAACAGGAATTTTTGAGAATCCTCTAACTCTGTTCTTCTGTTTCAAGTATGTGCTCCATAAATTTCCACATGAATTTTAGAATTAGCTTGCTAATTTCTCCAAAGAAGCCAGGTGGAATTTTGATAGAATTGTGTTGAAACAGATCAATTTGGGGGGTATTACCATCGTAAGCCTTCTTATCTATGAACTTGGGATGTCTTTCTATTTATATAGTTAATTAATTAATTAATTAATTAATTATTTTTTATCAGTTGAGAACCTGAATAGAATTTTTTTTCTTTGAGCTGGAGTCTTGCCCTGTTGCCCAGGCTGAAGTGCAATGGTGTGATCCCGGCTCACTGCAGCCTCCACCTCCTAGGTTCAAGCGATTCTCCTGCCTCAGCCTCTTGAGTACCTGGGACTACAGGCATGTGCCACTACACCCAGATAATTTTTGTATTTTTAGTAGAGACAGGGTTTCATCATGTTGGCCAGGATGGTCTCAATCTCCTGACCTTGTGATCTGCCTGCCTTGGCCTTCCAAAGTTCTGGGATTATAGGCGTAAGCCACTACGCCTGGCCGACTTTAATTTTCTTTTAAGAATGTTATGTAGTCTTTATGGTATCTTTTGTTAAACTTACTCCTAATATTTTATTCTCTTGGATGCTTCAGAAAAATTTCATTTTTGGGTTGTTCATTGTTTTTGTATGGAAATGTAATTAATTTTTGCATATTGATTTTGCAACCTTGTTCAACTTGTTTACTTCATTTTTGTAAAACATATCTATTAATAAAATCTTAACAAGTATTAAACTGCTATGTAATCTGTTTTATGTTTTCAAATCTCCGGTTAGCTTACCTTGTATCTAGTTGTTGCATTCATTATTGACATGGAGTATTAAAGTCTCCCAACTACTGTTCTTGATATTTCTCTCTTTAATTGTCAGTTTTTGCTTCATTTTAGTGGCTTCTTTAGGATTTTCTTATATATGAGATCATGTAATCCGCAGTTAGAGATAGTTTCACTTCTTCTTTTCCAATCGATGCATTCTATTCTAATTTTTTTTGCCTAATTGATGGCTAGAATCTTCAGTACCATGTTGAATAGAATGGCAATTCTTTTTAGTGGACAAACTTGTATTATCCCTGATCTTGTAAGGAAAGCATTTAGACTTTCACCATTAAGTATAATACCTGTGGGTTTTTTCCTTTCTTTTTTTCCCATGGATTTTTTTTTTATCAGTTTGAGGATGTTTCCTTCTATTTCTAGTTTGTGAGTTCTTTTATTATAAAGGGCTGTTAGATTTTTTTCAGATGCTTTTTTCGGTGCATCTTTTGAGATGATCATGTGGTTGTTTCTTCTAATATGTTGTATTACACTGTTTTGTTTTTAGATGTTGAACAGTTCTAGAATTTCTGGGATAAATCCAACTGGTCATATTGTATAATCCCTATTTTGCTGTATATTGTTTTCTAGTATTTTGTTGGGGATTTTTGTGTCTATTTTCATAAGATATATAAGTTTGTAGTTTTCATTTCTTCAGATTTCTTTGATGATGTTATCTGGATAATAATGGAATTGTAAAATGAGTTAGGAAATGTTCCAGGGTCCAAAACACTTTTGTCTGTTGAAAGAGTTTGTGAAGAATTGATACCAATTTTTCTTATAATTGGTGCGATTCACCAGTGAAGCTGTCTGGGCTTGAGATTTTTTTTTTTAATGGGAAGTTTTTAAATTACTAATACGATCTTTTCACTTGTTATAGGTCTATTCAGATTGTCTGTTTCATCCTAAGTCAACTTGGATACTCGGTGACTTTGTAAGAATTTGTCCCTCTCCTTTAGTTATTTAATTTGTTAGTATTCACCTCTGATTATTCCTTCAATCCTTGCTATGCCTACCCTACAAAATTGGTAATAATGTACTCTGTTTTATTCCTGTTCTTAGTACTTTGCGTTTTCTTTTTCTTTTTTTTCTTTTCTTTGTCAGTTTAGCTCAAAGTTTGTCAGTCTGTTTATCTTTTTAGATAATAAACTTTAAAAAGTATTTCTCATTTTTCTGTTCTCTAGTTCACTTATATTGGCTCTCATCTTTATTATTTTTACTGTTGGCTTTTGGTTTAGTTTACTTATCTTTTTCTAGATTTCTTTTTGAGTTGAGTCTCTCTCTGTTGCCCAGGCTGGAGTGCAGTGCCACAATCTCAGACACTGTAACCTCCGCCTCCCAAGTTCGAGTGATTCTCCTGCCTCAGCCTCCAGGTGGCTGGGACCACAGGCCTGCACCACCATGCCCAGCTAATTTTTGTATTTTTAGTAGAGATGGGGTTTCACCATATTGGCCAGGGTGGTCTCGAACTCCTGATCTCAGGTGATCCACCCATCTGTTCCTCCCAGCTGGGATTACAGGTGTGAGCCACCTCACCTGGTCCTTTTTCTAGTTTTTTAAGGTGGAAGATTAGGCTGTTGGTTTGAGATCTTTTTTAAAAATGTAGGCATTTACAGCTGTAAATTTCCCTGCAAGCACTGCTTTCAGTATGTCATATACGTTTTGGTATCTTGTATTTTTGAATTTATTTCTCCCAAAGTATTTTCTCCCAAAGTATTTTCCAGTTTGACTTGTGACTTTTTTTCTTTTATCCATTGCTTATTCAGAAGAGTGTTATTTTCTGTGTACTTGTGAACTTAACAGATTCCATTTTGTCATTATTTCTAATTTCATTCCATTGTGATTAGAGAACATACTTTGTATTGTTTCAGTCCTTTTAACTTTATTAAGGCTTGTTTATGACCCAGCATCTTAGAGAATAGATGTCTGTTAGGTTTAGTTTTGTATTTTCAAGTCTCCTGTTGACTGACTTTGTATCTAGTTGTTGCATCCATTATTGAAATGGGGTATTAAAGTCTCCCAACAACTGTTGTTGAATGGGGTGTTTCTTTCTTCAGTTCTCTCAGGTTTTGCTTCATTTATTTTGGGGCTCTCTTGTTAGGTTCATGTGTTTATAATTGATATATTTATCTGATGATTGGCCCATTTATCATAGTACTTTTTTTCTCTTCAATAATTTTTAAAAGTTTATTTTGTCTGATGTTACATTTGCACTTTTAGAATATGCCTTCTATAGTAGATTGTTGGATTTTTTTTGTAGTTTGTCAGCCTCTGCCTTTCAGCTGGATTATTTAATCATTATATTTAATGTTGTTAATTATGTAGTTGAATATATGTCTGACATTTTGTTTCATTTTCTATGTATTTCATGTCTTTTTTGTTCTTCTAGTCTTTCTTTACTGCTGTCTTTCATATTAGATGACTTTCTTGTAGTATAACATTTTAATTCTTTTAATGATATTTTCACCATATCATTTCTTCTTCTTTTTTTTTTTTTTTTTGTGACTGCCCTACTGCTTACTGTACACATCTTACCTTATTAGAAGCTACTTTGGGTTTGTCCTAACTTAATTCCAGCTAGATACAGAAATCTCATTCATAGAGTTCTGTTCCTTTTTTGTTTTTTTGAGACGGAGTCTTGCTCTGTCACCCAGGCTGGAGTGCAGTGGTGTGATCTTGGCTCACTGCAACCTCTGCCTCCCAGCTTCAAGCCATTCTCCTGCCTCAGCCTCTAGAGTAGCTGGGATTACACGTGCCTGCCACCATGCCCGGCTAAGTTTTGTATTTTTTATTTTTAGTAGAGACAGAGTTTCACCATATTGGCTGGGCTGGTCTCGAATTCCTTATTGACAGTTTTTTCTTTTATCATTTTGAATATGTCTTACCACATCTTTCTGGCTACCATTATTTCTGATGAGAAGTTAGTTGTGACAAGGCACTTTTCTCTTGCTGCTTTCAAGAGTCTCTCACTGTCATTGGCATCCAACATTTTGTATTATGATATTTCTGGGAATGTATCCCTTTGCTTTCCTTACTTGGTGTTAATTGAGCTTCTTGGATGTGTATAGACTAGTGTTTTTCTTCAATTTCACAGGTTTTTGGCCATTATTTCCTGAAGTATTTTTCTGTTCCTTTCTCTTTCTCTTTTCTTCATATTCCCCTTACATATATGTTGATTCACTTAATAGTGTCCTACACATTTCTTCCTGATGCTTTGTTCACATTTCCTTATTAATTTTTCTCTGAATTGCATAACCCTATCAGTCTGTCATCAAATTTGCATTGTCCTTGTTCTGGTTCAGATATACTATCGAGTCCCTCTTGTGACTTTTTCAGTTCAGTCATTTTACTTGTCAACTACATAATATCTTTTTTTCTTATCTCTTTTTTAAAGCTAAGACATTGTCATCATACCTTTCTTTGATCATAGTTTCCTTAAATTATTGAACATATTTTTAATAACTGCTTTGAGGTCTTTATTAAGTCTATATAACATGTTGGCTCTTATACAGGCAGTTTCTGTTGACTGCTATTTTACCTGTGTACGAATTACTTCTGTTTATTTGCATGTCATAATTTGCATACAAGAGGCTGGACATTGCAGTGTCTCTGGACACTTCCTCTCCTTGTGGTTATTGTTTGCTTGTTTAATGCCTTGCTGGGCTATTTCAATAAAGTTATATATTTCTTGCAGTGTGCCTCATGTCACACATGAGAGGGTACAGCCTTGAACATGGGCACAGTTATACTGGGATGACAGATTTTAGTAGAGTTGTTTCCAATTTTCTCTTTCACTTATATATAGCTGTTAAAATTTCTGCTTCTGTTGGTGTCACACCCAGATGTGATAGCCTTTGCTAACTGCTGGTGACTGTTGTTTTGTTATTAACAGTTCTCTGGAGCATACATTGCTTTACAGTCAGAGCAAATTGGATTTTGGCCCCTTTGTAGATGTATTTTTTAGGCTAATCTGCAGTGTTTGTTTTGAACCCAGGAGATCTCTTCCCAGTTCTCTTTGGTTGACTAGCTGGCCTGTGTTTAACTTGTTCTTGTCTTAGAGCTACCAGCTTCCTTTTAGGTGCTTACTGCCCAAATCTCCATATTTATTAGGGTATCCTTAGGCTTGAACTTCTCTACACTCTGTTCCAAATAGTCTTCTTTTTGGGAGGCTTTTAGAGTTCTCTGCTCTTAGGTCTACTGTTTCTCTGCAGCAGAATCTCTTAGCCACCACTGGGCAGGGTGGTAGCCTCTAGTCTTTTTGGCTTGCCTATCCCTGTGTGTAACCTCTGTCTTAGGAGTGAGATGGGTTGAAGGCAAATGGGGCCCCAGTATTCTAGGCCTAAGTATTCTATTCATGTTTAGGGTAGAGCCTCTGCCTGTCTTTTGAGGCTGGTGGCAGAAAGTGAGGGAGTTGGGTATAAGAAATTCTGTTGGCCTGTCTGTCCTGGAGGGATCCTCTAACCCTTGACTGGAAGCTAGGCAGGGACAGAGAGCCCTGTCTTCTTGACTCCATTTGCCAGGAGTAGAAATTTCATTTATGCTTAGCTGGCAGAGAGAAGAAAGGGCCAGTGTTGTTCAGGTACTCTAGATTCTTGCTGTTTTTATTGAGATTTAGTAGATTATTTAAAATAAAATAGCTTTTCATTTGCTATATTCCCTTGGAACACTCCCAGAGCACTGAGTTTTTTTTTGTTTTGTTTTGTTTTGTTTTTTTCTTTTCAAGTAATTTTCTCCAATTATGAATTGAATTTTGGCAATTGAGTCAGTCTTATTTTCTCTGGATAAACCATACTTGCTCAGAGATTTTTGGTTATTTTATTGAATTTGATTTGCTAATATTTTGTTGAGAATTTTTGCCTTTATGTTTATGAGGAATATTGGTCTTTAATTTTTTGCTTGTCTTGTTTTAGTTTTGGTATCAGTAACGCCTCAAAAATGACTTAAGTATTTTGTGTCCTGTTTTCTGGAAAACATTATGTCAATTTGGTATTATTTCTTCTTTAAATATTTTGGTAGAGGTCCCTAGTAAAACTACCTGACCTGGAGAGTTTTTCTTTCTTTCTTTCTTTTCAACTGTTAATTCATTTTTTTTATGTAAGTATAAGACTTTTCAGGTTTTTTGGGTTCTGAGTGAGTTTTAAGTTTGAAGTTTTTGAGGAATAGGTGCCTTTCATCTAAGTTGCTGAATTAATTTTTATAGAGTTGTTCTGGCGTTGTTATCCTTTTAATACCTATGGGTTTTGTATTTTCTCTATTATTCCTGATATTGGTGGTTTCTGACTTTTTTCTTTGCTAGTCTGCCTTAGAGGTGCATCAGTCTTGATGATTTTCCTTTTAAAAATTAGATTTTCTGTTTGCTTTAGTTTTTTTCAGTTTCCATTTTTCTCTCTCATTTTTATTACTATGTTTACTTTTGGTTTGTTTTGTGCCCTTTTTAAAGGTGTTTGAGGTGTAAGCTTAGATGATTGACTTGAGATCTTTTCAAAGATAAGCACTTGAGTACTTATAAATTTCCCCTTGAGTACTAATTTAGCTATATCCTACAAATTAAATGTTTTATTTTATTTTCAATCTGTTCAAAATATTTCTAAATTGCGCTTTTAATACATTGATGACCATGGATTACTTAGATATGCACAGTTTAATTTTTATGTATTTAGAGATATTTTCCAGTTTCTCATGTCAATTTTTAGTGTAACTCTCTTATAGTCAGAGAACATCATTTGTATGAATTCAGTTCTTTTAAGAAGATGCAGCTAGTTTGATGAATGTTTCATTTTCCCCTTTTAGGAATTTGTGATCTACTGATGTTGTATTCTGTAAGTGTCAGTTAGATCCAGTTGGTTAATGATGGTGTTCTGTTTTTCTGTGTCCTTTCTGACTTTTGTTTACTTGCTTTATAATTACTGAAAGGAGTATTGAAATTTCCAAATGTAATGCTGGAATGGTCGATTCCTCCTTTTAGCTGATCAGTTTTGGTATTTTTAACTTGAAACTCTGTTGTAAGTTCATGCACATTTAAGGGGTGTTATTCTTCTTGGTAATTGCCCTTTTAATCATTATTTAATATATATTTTAACCCTGGTAATTTTTTTTTTATTGCTCTGAAGTGTACTTATTCTGATATTAAGGTAGTCACTCCAGCTTCTGTTTGTTTACTTTTTGCATGGTATATCTTTTTCACCTGTTTACTTGTTACTCTGTTTAAAGTATGTTTCCTGTAGACAGCATATGGTCTTTTTTAAAAAAAAGACATTTTGACAGTCTCATTCTTTGGGACTATCTACATCTAATGTAATTTTTGATTTATGTGAATTTAGGTGAACTTTTTGCTTTTTCGTTCATGTGATTGATTCTTCTTTCCTACCATCTTTTGTATTATCTGACTACTTTTAATATTGCATTTTATTTATTGAGTTTTTTAGTATATTTCTTTGTGTAGTTTTTTAGAGATTAGGGATTACAATGCACGTTCCTAATTTTTCAGAATTTATTATGTTAGTTTCCTAAGGCTCCTATATTAAATTGCCACAAAGTCTGTGGCTTAAAATACTAGAAATGTATTCTCTCATGGTCCTGGAGGTTGGAAGCCCCAAATCTGAACCTGTATCATCAGGGCCATGAACCCTTTGAAGAGTGTAGGGAAGAATCCTTCCTTCTAGTTTTGGTGGTTCCCAGCAACCTTTATGTTCCTTGGCTTATACCTGCATCACTCCAGTCTCTGTCTGTTTTCACATGATTTTCTTTCTCTTCACACTGCTTTTCTGTGTTTCTATATGTAAACCATTCCTTTCTTTTCTGAAGACACAAGTCATTGGATTTAGGGCCTTCGTAAATCCAGTATAACTTCCTGTTAATTTGGTGAGATTGGCAGTGACTCTGTTGCCAAATAAGGTGAAATTCAGAGGTCCTGGGGGTTAAGTCTTTTTTGACTACACAACTCACTCCACTGCGCTTGTATCACTTCAAGTGGAATGTGGAAACCTTTTCAGCCTGTAGTTCCCTTTACTCATCCACTTTTATGTTGTAGTTGTCATATGTATTACATTTATATACTTCAGATACTCTTCACACAGTGACATCACTTGCTTTAAACTATCATGGATATTTTAAAGGATTTAAGAGGAAAAGAATAGTCTATCACAGGGATTGCAAACTATGGCTGCAGGCCAAGTCTAGCCTGACATCTGCTTTTTGTAAATAAAGTTTTATTGGAATACAGCCACAGTTGTTATATATTGTTTCTGGCTGCTTTTGCACTATAACACAGAATTGATTCTTTACAGTGGAGACTGTTAGATTCATGAAACTTGAAACATATTCTATCTGGCCCTTTACAAAGTATTTACTATCTTTACAAAAAAGTTTGCCAATTCCAGGTCTATTTTAAAAATGCTTTAACATCTCACCCATCATTTTCTTTTTCAAACTAGCTCTTTTTCCTGTATAATTTATGTCTTACCCTAATAACTTTTTGGCATGTATTTTCAGTGTCTTTGCCCTGTCTTGCTTTCTTATAGCCAAATTACATCAAAGTTGATTTAGCCTTGGGTTGTGAATCAGAAATTCTGGATTCTGTTTTCTCTCTGTCACTAATTAGCTGTATGTGTGAGACCTTGAACAAGGTTATGACTACCAGACCACAATGTATCTCTGAAACAGGGTGTTTCAACTGAATTAATTTTGCTCTGAGGCATTTTTTTTTTTTTGACACTTTACAGTACTGTGCTAAGTTAATGTCTGCAAGCAACCTTGTTTGTGCTGTGATATTCTCATCCAGAGGTTGTTAATATTTTTTGTTCCATGAACCTTTTTGGCTCTGATGAAGAATGTGGACCCCTTCTCAATAATGTTTTACATATGCAAAATTAAACACATATGCTTATGAGGGCATTAGTAATATTGGAGTACAGTTATAAAATATTGACCAAACAAATTCAGTGACAGACATATCAACACGAAGTTTAGTGGTGTATGGTATTAATAACT